TGCTTGATTGCCTCTGGGTGTACATTAATTCTCATAATAATATTAAAGGACTATTGAAATGCAAATATGTTCGTTTCCGTGCCTTCTTCGATATTATAATTTAACCTTTTGATGTCTAGTGCAGAATTTGGCAGAAATTTTGTATGCGTGGCTGATTATATTTCGCTGTATACACATGAACGACCGTTTTATCGTGGGCTCAGAACACATGTGAGTTCTACCTATTTTAGTCGCTGTAGGTAAAACAGAATATCGAATTATCATTACTGGAGTTTTGATATAAAACCTCAACATTAAATCTCATACAGAAAGGCTGTACAATAAATGAATATAGAGTGAACATTATCTGAAATAATCCTTCGAGACTACAAGACTTAACCACAACGTGTTACGTTATCAGACAAACAATACTGAAAAACTGAGATTCTTCTAAAAATTGCATTCCATACTTACGAATATCACAAACGGAACAGATTAAAATAAAGTCTTATCTTTTATAACAATTATTCTGCTTTGAATTTCAAATAAGAGAGCCAAATTTACACAATTCTATAGAATTAACAAAAAAAAACAGGGATGTTTAAAAAGCTCGAACTTCGGAGAAATCCATGCGTTCAAACTATATTCTGTGTGACGCCTTCATGAATATGAAACTCAACACCTATCAGACCTGATCTTTTTAGATGAGCGAACAACACCTTCAGAGCAAGCCCATGTCTGTCCGTCTGTCGCACTCATTTCATCGTACGATCAGCTGATTATAGATTCATATTAGTGTTAACTGGACATCATTTCCAAAAAATTGAAAACAAATCACGAACAAGATAATATGTAACTTTGTTCTCCAACCGAAGTATGGCTGATGAAGGCCGTGTCTTAACGCGGGCGATTAATAGCAAGGTTTCTGACCCCGGAGGACCTAGTTCACGCCCAGGTCAGTCCATGTGGTGGACAAATTTTCACCAATGCAAGTTTTTCTGAAGGTTCCTTTCATTTTCCCCTGTCAGTATCAATCCATCGCTGCTCCATTCTCATTCGTGTATCATCCGGGCGATGGACAGTGGCCCATTTCTACAGAGACATATTCTCACCACAGAATTATATTACCAACAAGGGTCTAAAACTATTTCAAGACCTGATATACTGTAATGGACACTGAAAGAGAGATTACACACCAGCGATCCTGTAACTGAACACAATCCTATATGCTTCATTTTCACTGTAATCAGTAATACATGCATAGCGAGTACTTATCAGACAGGTATGGGACTTGAATCTAATAAGTAGGGGGAAACTGAGCCTCGTAGTGGTAACTTGCTGTTTCCTAGTCGTGATAATTACGTAGTCTGCCATACAGCACCCTGAAACCTAATAGAATACTACATTCTCAACACAAAAGAAAACAGACAGGTAATTAAATTCTGATCAACAATGGAACTTTGTTCTTGTATTACTTCCGGCTGATATGCAAAAATATACATTATACTGAAATATAAAGATATTTTTTTGTATCTCAGTTTTCATTTTGAGAACAATACGCTTTTGATTAAGCAGAGAAAATGGATTCAAAATTTAGCAGAGCTGAATTATGAAAGACCTCTTTTAATATATACTCCAGATAAATTCATTTATCTGTGGCTTATTTTACAACAATTTAGTTGAGCATAAAATATGCCTACAGCATCGAATTGATTAATAAATATTGAATTCGGAAGGATATTGAAAGAATCGGTCGTGGCCAATCCACATCGACTTTCGATTATTCTCCAGTTAAAACGAGATATTCACAGATTATTTACTGATATTACATCAACCAGTGAGGTCATACAGAAACGCCTGTACTGATTAATATAGACTATCGGAACCATACTATAATATCTATGAAACTGCACCTTTCTTAATCTAGTGTTAAAATCACTGACCTGCTAAAATAAGCGAATTTAATGGTTTGTGTGATTCTCAAAATCAATTACTTCCCTAAATAAATTTAACCAAATTATATTCGGAATGGTAACACGCAAAATCCTGCAAATATATATAATGATTTACGTCAAAAAATTTGTGTGTCCTTTTAATAACAAAATATATGAGTTGTGAAGTGGGAGAAATCCATTTTTTCAGTTATTTTAAATAACTGCCTCACGCAAAAGTTTATACAAAACTTAAAAAAATATATACTAGCATTGTGTCTCTATTAATCTCCTGATTCGCAATTTATAGTTACTACAAAATTAACTGAATACATGCATGACGCTATAGAAACGAGCAAATAAACCTACAAACAAATAGACGAGCTGGTTTTGTATGAGAATCTTGGTTCAACCGGCGGTATATTGCTTCTCACAGATCAAACGTGCAAAGAATAGAAAACTGTGTCGTGAAATCCGATGACAGTGTCACGTATCAGGTAATGTGACAGGTTACTGTAATACTCGTGGGATCTGGAAGGTACCTGCGACCGCAAATTGTTCTGTCCTTTTGTCGTCTGGACTATTATTTCTCAGTTGCGTCAGTCTTCCTCCGGCTTCCATCAACAGAGTCCCCGAATCATGTTTCCTTGCGCCAAAGCATGTCAAACTCACTGTCTTCCACGTGCCACTTTAAAATATGTGCCTGCATCATATTTTTCGGAAAGTCACGACCACCTACTTTTACTAACTGAAAACTTAAGATTAAATATATTTTTCGTCACATTATTTTCCACACAAACGCCAATTTCATAGTACAGTTCCACTTAATTCAAATCAAATATAAAATTTAAAATGTATTAAAACAGATATTTTTAAAAATCCGCTTTCAAACAGCGTACGACACAATGCTACAGAAATATTTGGAAGTTCTTTTTTCGGAGAGCATAAAAGTAATTTTAATAATAATTAAGATCATTTAAGATTCGTATATCAATTAAAAATCACTCTAATTACACGTTGTATTGTGTCAGTCTTCCCATATGTAATGAAATAGATTCATTTCATATCACTTTAATTACGTTCTACTTTCATCAACCTCAGCTGAAGAATTTTTTCCTGTGACATTTTTCTTTAATTCCATACAATAATTCCAATTTTTTATATTAACAACTTATTTCCCGTCTGCACTCTACACAGCGTTCTCGTCAAATCGAAATTTCCTCCCTTCGTCATCACTGTACGTGGCATTTGTTATGAAACTAGCAGTACGCTCTTTGAATGTTTATACGCTTCACGGCGACACATCGAAATGACATTTCCATATTTTCAATCGCTTTCCACAAATATAGTACAGCCAATTTGACTACCAATCCAATCCCGGGTGACACTGAGAAGAAAATTAACAGGTAGGGACTGAAAGACCTTTATGACGACACTGCTGATCGAGTGAGTGCAGTTTAATAACACTACATTTTACTAAAACAAAAAGGTATAATCTTTTACATTGCTACACCTTACTACTTTTACACTTAAAAACATGAAATGCCAGCTATTTCGTTTACAATACAAAATAAAAGCAGTCCTGTTACTTAACTCCCTTAAAATCTCTTTTATCTTTAAACTTCCGAATCCAATTTACATCATTAATTGGTTCTAGATAGATATTTCACCAATTAAATAAAACTGTTGTAAAAAATTTAAGCATTTTTTATGATCTGATTGTAGCCTATGAGAATAAAATCGCGAAACGTAAAATTAAAATGATCAGGAAAGAGGTCGTTTTATATCTCTCGTAATTTTCCTGGAGATACTGAGGATAAACCATGAGAAATCTAAGAACGTAGTAGCGTGTCCTGGTCGAGATCCGCGCTGAGTTTGATTCTTATTCGGTAAAAAATTTCGCGATTTACTTAAATATTATATTTAACCTGAAGCATTTGTATCGATTACTGGAAATAAGGCAAATATTTCAGCAAAAAACATTACTACGACGAGGGTTTTCCTCTTTAACACACAAGTACTTACTTTCGAAATTTTTCTACAAGAAATTTATGTTCATTTGCTTTTAACAGTTGAAGGTCAGCGCTGATGGGAGATCATATTTTGAACACGCATTTATGAGCTAGAACAGGACAGAGAAACCATATTTGAAAGACAAATTCTGCGAACATCTGTTACCCATAACCATGTTACGACATTGCAATATACACACAATACAATAGCAATTTTCTTTCCTATACACAAACACGGCATTTATTTATAATTCTGATGTAAAATCGATACAAGATTTTACTTCAAGTAGCATTTGTAGGTCTGCCTGAATAGACTACATTTCTCAAAGTATCGGGGACATCGTAATACTATATTTAAAGGCAACTACACAAATGTCTGCGGTCATAAAATATCGTTGTTTCCAAAAATTACAATTGTAACCAAAGTAATTTACTTACTAACAAAATTTTGATATTTAAAATTTACGTAAGTGATTTCAAGTTTTCAAGAAGATTCTTTATTGACGTTGAACCTGCTTTTGGCACACGGCATACTGAAGAAGTTGGTTTCTTGCCTATGTTTCGAAGAACCATTTTGCTTTCATCATCAGGGCTGATTTCATGAATGAATGTCAGGAATTATCTGGGTATAAAATCAACTCATCATGGTGTTGGTCCTGATGATAAAGGCAGCAAATACCTCTGAAACGTCGATAAACTTCTACCAGAAGACAGCCATTTTCGGATTCACTGCAACGATAACCTCAAATCGTACGTAATATGAATCATATCAAAGTTTTAGTTTCAGACTACAATATTAACGGGACGAATGTCGTATTAACATGTAAATTAATACTCGACAAATAATTTAGTGTTAATTTCAATAACTCTAAGCTGTCGATTTAACGAAAATATATTTAAGCCGTACTAATTTGTGAGTAGCTTTATCAGCAATTCAGTGATTTAACAACAAATTCAACCCCGTACATCATCAAACGTTTCAACAACTTCTAACATATCTTAAATCGTTAGATGTTAATCAGTCGCACAGTCAAACGGGCCTCACTCTCACCTTCGAGCAGTCATTATAGGGTCTTACCTGTTTCACTGGTGGCAACAACCGCTGAAGCTGTTAGGATGTCGTTGTTGACGTAGAGTGTGAGAAATAAAAGTCTGAGGAGACCCACAGTACGCGAAGCTGAAGGACCATTCATTGTTCATCTTTTAAATCCACTAACAATGAAGAAACAGTCGAATCAGTACAAATAAAACACAAAAACACTGTTTACACTGCTTTTCCCATTATTACCTCGCTAAATAACACTGTTCTCGGAAGAAGGAAGTATTTCGCTGATTTATATCAACCACTTATACCCATTATTGACAATAATGTGTACACAAAATGAACACTTCGTATACTGAAGCGGTATAGATTTGATGTTCATCACTTTCACCAGTCATACTCATGACCACTTACATTTCTTAGCTAATAAAAACCTTCGTTGCTATTTTGTTCTCAACTACAGAAAACAGCCTTTTTTTTCAAACACTATAATATTCAAAATAAGTATGAAATTTTCTCAATTCAAATACAACATTGTCCACACATATACAAAACTCACAATTGCGATACAAGAATGTTAGTTTAACAAATGACATCCTGTGGTCAAAGTCGAGTTACACAGAAACAAGATCACATGTAGTAAAGTTTCGATGCTTGCCAACTCGACCGTAAATTATGGAAAATGTTGAACGCACACAGGGATGTAATGAATCAGCGAAAGTGCAGTTGACTTTGCATCTTGAAACATAACACGTTTGAAATCATTCAGCTTTACGATGTACTGAACTAGTACTATACAGAAACACGATGAATCAACTGTTGTGACAAGATACAGATAAATCCTTGTCAAGTGGTTTGGGTAAGACAATCGTGTAAAAAGCTTCTGACACTGAAACGCGCGAAACGGAGGTTTGCACCCGACTGATAACGCCGTGGCTCGCCGCGCAGGACACGATCGTCGCTTCGGCAATGTTCGGCGGATTTCGTTTCGACCTCTCGATAGTGGCTCGCTGCTTCTCTGGCCGGGTGGCACTCGACCACAAAATAACCCTCCCTCACCTCACTCGAAATAGTGGTTATGTAATAATTAACACCGGTTATGTATTCTGTAGCATAAATTCCGATTTAAAAAGCCTTAGAAATACGATATAATTTTGATAAACATGCCAATAAATTTAAAAATCGAGTTACTAAAAAATTTACAGGCTTAATCAGGTCGCAGGAACCCTCTGATTTCGAATTTAAAAATTTAAAAATTTTAATAGGACTGAGTTCAAATTTATGTCTTAAAATGTAATTATGTAATTTGGAGGCCCCATATTACTTGTTCTGTGTTCACGTTTTCGACGTCCATGAAATTGTTACAAAAGAAAATACTATGTTTATAATTATATTAATTTGAATTTGTTTTCCACCACACATTATAAGTCGGACAAGTAACTGGAAAAATCAACTGCACAATCATAATAATAAAAATGTTAAAAACGAGCTGGTTAACTCAGTGGTGTGGCTACAAGCTGGACAACCACGGTTCGATAAATTTTTATCTGAGCTACTGCGTCCTGACAGGTTCTGGGGCCCACCCAACATCCTGTCCAATGGGTACCAGGAGTATTTTCCCTGGGGGCAAAGCGGCCAGCGTGAAAAGCTGACCAATCACCTAAATCTAGTACAGGAGTCAAGAAAGCGTGGAGTTATACCTCCACACACGATACGTATTTATATCATGGTGCTTAAGATGTACGAAGAACAACCTTATCTTTAATAATAATTCTACTGAATTCTTAATAATAATACACCAAACACACATGAAGAATCTAATGATTTTAATGGGGTTCTTGAAAAACTTCACTTCTTGTGCGTGTGCCCCTTTAGAAACTTGAAACATTCGGCCAATTTTCACAAAAACTTGCAAAAACTTTTCCTCGTTTGAGGCCACCCGAACCTCGTATCCTGATGATGTAGGTAGCAAGTACCTCTGTATTTTCGATAAACTTTCACCAGACTACTACACGACACAACTCAGAAGACAGCCATCTTCGTACTCACCGCTGTGAAAACCACAAATCCTACTCGTACGTTTAATTTTCTACAGTTCATAACAACATAGAGAAGGAGCGACCTAGACTATGTCACAATCTGTAACACTAAAACAGATAAAACAATCAAATATCCGTTCGGCACCTAATGCAAGACTCTCTATAGATTCATCGTCCTGCACATGGAGGGCGTAAGCAGCTCTAAAACTTTTACCAGAATACATGGCGGAACATCTCAGAAAACAGTAATCTTTAAGATAAGTAGTTATGAGTATCCTTCGCCTATTTTTAAAACACAGAAACACGGACAGACAGCGCATATAAGTACAGACTCTTTTCAGTAGCTCTGGTTGAAAGGAAGTCTCGCCAAAACTTAGATTGTTTATAACTTTCAGTCATTCGCTTGCCTGCTATTGTAAAGAACGGACACAAATTACTGAAAGCTGTGTGAAAAGGTATTTCCTGAGTAATAAAATGAATCCCAAAAGAGAGGGAGAGGGGGTTTTGAAATTCGTTGCTAACGAAGTCAATTTGAGATACAATCAAACTTTTCTTTCGGAATAAATCCTCCCTTTGAGGCTGAATATGTTTATAAAATGAATTTAAAATAAAAGAAACTGCTTTTAAAATACATCACCTGGAAGAAATATGATAACTTCATGGCATACGTACAGTGCCCTTATACGTAGGAAGGCAAGTCAGAGCACTTGATTTTTTTTAACGTTCATTAACTGATTAATGACGCCTGTTGCTGAGACATCTAAACCAAAATTGCTACAGTTTTTCTGCGAGTCGTAATTGTGAAAATTCTGAAAGCTGACTCTGATAGGCTGTATCATTTATAATAAAGAACTTCCTCCTATGTGTATAGGGCTTCATTAAAAAGGGACCTCTTTTAAATGGAAGATAAGAACGTTTCTATATATATATATAATTAAAAGTAAAATTATAGTTGTCCCACTATACACCATGTAGGCGCTTGGGGTGGGTGGAGGTACAGCTCCTCTCTTCCTTGACCTCGGCACTAGATGGGGGTGAGTGGTCAGCATCACGCCCCGGTCACGCTTTACCCTGGGAAAGGACCCCAATACCCTTTGGAGAGGAGGCTGGGTGGGTCACAGAACCGGTCTTGACACAGAGGATACAGGAACAAAATCCTCTGCCCCCGTCGGGGATCAAACCCCGGTCGTCAAGTCCGTAGGCAGTCACTATAATGGCTGAAGGACCTTGGCCTCTTCACGCATAGTTTCCTATCTACACAGGCCAAAACAACGTATAAATACGTAAACATCCATATCTTTTGTGGTATTCTAACCCAAAATCCCAGTATATGAGCGGTCCACGCCCCAGACTACATGGTTAGTGTAAGTAACTATTAAGTATCATTGAAATAAATAAATAAATAAAATATTTTAAAGTATGCCAGCACTAATTTTATTTACACGTTTTTTTATTACTACTATAACTTAAATAAAATTGTTAGACGTAACTAAATATTGATCAATTCCAACAGAATCACGTAAGTATCAACATACTAACAGTGATTCTTACATGTAAGCCTATATGTTCCACTTTACAGTGAATTTCCAAAACGTATAGTGGGAGACTCACATACATTTTATATGTGTTGTGTTTACGTAAACCTCACTTTACGTTATCATTTTTCATTACAGTCCCATAAGATGACGTATCAATTAAGGTTTGTCTAATAATTTCACATAAGATTTAAGTAAAAAAATCTCCCCATGAGGTAATAATGACAATACAAAAAACATATGGAGTACTATTTAAACATAAAGCCCTTTAGCACAGAATTCACCCGGAAATAAATCTCTTAAGAGACGATATTCCTTGTAACTGACGGCAATTTGGAGATCTTCAGCGCGACTTGCCTTCGCTAGGCACCTTGGCTTACCCGAGATGGAGCAGCTGACAACTTCCTGGCTCCGACGCCATCTCATCTTCCTCTTCCTGTCCATTGTACCCACTCTTTAACCTGTATCTGGCCACTTCCTATTTTCGTTCACTACCTCGTTATGACTCCAGTTCGAAAGACATTCTTATGTCGCGTGGGACTGTGTACTCTTGAAACAGTCAAAAGTATGTGGTCACATTTGATCTAATGATGATGATAATGATGGTCATGATGACTAAAAATCACTCAATTTCTTATTCGTGTTGAACTAACTTCAAAGAGTTATGCCATAAATATATTAAGTTTATCAAACATACAGGTTGAATATTTATTGAGCCCTTCAAGTCTAAATGGTAAATATACGTACCAACTTCTTTAAAAACCAATAACCCTACATTTTATATTTCTGGATCTTGTATGATCCTCACTGCAAAACACATATTATTTTCTTAAACAGCATTAATAGATGATTGTTACAACAGAGACGTCTTTCTTTTATGGTAAAGGACCGAACTATCAGATATTACTTTTAGACTAGTTTCGGCTTCAAATGTTTAAAATGCAGGCATATAAACTTTAGAATTGTGATATAAAAGCGAGAAACTTAATTATTCTATTACAAACTATTTTAAGATAAACCCAGGATAGGGTCGGATACTTCAGCTATTTGTAGGTCTATATAAGGCTACTCAAGAGAAACTGATTTATCGTCATGTTGACATAATACAGACCAATTAAGAAACGTTGATTCCCTGTTATCAAGTCATGTCTTGCTGGTCATTAGAACACTAATTCGCTTGGACAAACGAGCCTGTTTTATGACCCGAATAAGAACAACCACACGTTGATGGCTTGTTCCACTGTCTCTCAGCATCAAAACTTGTATCTATAGGAGTTTACGTAGTTTCACTGATGGTCTTTATTATCTATGCCGTCCTAAGGGAGGTAATTCGAAAGGCAGATATTATTAGAATCATAAAATCACACATTTCCCGTGAGACATTTGAGTCAGTTTTACAAAGAACGACATTCCCTTACTGTAACATTTAACTACTATTCGTGTAATGGTTCATAAAATAACCACAGCGATGTTAGGGTCGAGATGTATTCACTCAGCTAAATTCATACAGACTCTGAACTCAATGCAACGTTTTCTGATGATAAATGAAGGAAGATTTTGTATCTTCAGCACAAAACAGGGCTTTATACTCTCCTAATATAAATTCATGTGCTGTTTATGTCATGTACTTTATTAATCTCGCTCATTGTGGTATCCTGGACTGTAACGCAGTGTAGTCTCGTACGTGATTATTAACATTTCGGATGAACGTCTAACCTCCATCTTCATAGTAGACCCAAAAATCCTTATTTAACCTCCGTTAAAACATCGAGCATTATATTTCAACAAATCTTTTCTAATTTAAACAACCAATCAACATTTCTTTGTGTAGGTATATATAGTATTACGATGTTATTAAAAGAAGATTACGTTTTCGCGTGTTGATAATTGTTTTAAAATATTTATTTTATAACGACTAGCAGAAACGGATGTATAAATTTCCAAGTATAACACTGTAGGCTACTGATAGGAAATTCACTTCTTTAAATCACAGTATATATATAGATTTCTCAGAAACACTGTTTTATATTTAAAGCATCATCCCTACACATTGACCTGAATAATGGTATTACAACTGCCTACAACATAAGGAGAGATCAAACAAGTCCATTATATAAGGCAGTAATGTCATCCTACTTTCATTTCTATACATAAGCTGTATCTGGCGAGATTATTTCAGAAATAGGCGCATTACGCTTCAGTCATTAGACAAAATTATTTTGTGACAGTAACATTGTATCTTGAAACATGCTACAATCACATAAAAAGAAAAATTCCTATAATATAAAATTCTGTTTTACATTTTTACTTGTGTTATGTCCGTCCTACTACTTTC